TTCAACAAGCAGTTCGATTCACTAATTTATTAATTATCTATTCAACCTTTGCAGCCATATTTTAGACACTCTTTACATTTTCTTTCTTTCTATCTCATTATTTTTTAGTAGCCATCATCTATCATGACAGATGAACACTCACACTGATGGATGATGGCTGATAAAATACATGTCATGCATTCCCCCATCATCTAACATCAATCACTCTAAGTCATTTATTCATCATCTATCCAAACAGCGTGCACATTCTTTAATTCGCTCAATCATTCACTCACTCATTCTTTAATTTATTCCACTTTTGTTGTACGGGAAGTGGTCCAGTCCAGTCAGCAGCCTGGAAGGTTTTTTTCTAGTTGCACTAACAGTTGCAATAACAATTGCAGACAGAGTAGTGCTGACATTCCCCACCCACATTTTCCCAGCTCTTCAAATTAGTGACCTTCTGGTTACAAGATAAAGCAAACTGGTAATTTAATTGATGCTCAAGGCAGGTATAGTAATGTGGGCCTCATTACTCCCAACCCTGAGCCATGTGTGCAAGTGTGTGTGTGTGTGTGTGTGTGTGTGTGTGTGTGTTGTGTGTGTGAATGGTTTTTTGAGCATGCTTCCTTCTGTGTGTGGACTGTACTTGTGCACTCATATCTTATTCTGGCATTTCTGCCAGTCTGTATGTTGAGTGCAGCCTAGCAACAACTTTAGCCTTCCACTGCTACTGGGGTGTACAGCAGGATCTGTGCCCCTAGCATTTAGCCTCTTTGACCCAGAATGCATCCCCATCTTCCCGCAGAGTTTCTCCCCTCTGTTCCACTGAGCTGATAACAGTGCTGAGCCGAAACCAAGTTGAAGCTCTCAGAGTCAATAAGATAGTACAGTGGAGACCCAGGGTAAAATCCCAAGTCCCACTGCTAGAGGAGACGAGAAACTCCTCTGTCTTTCTGATTGAATACCTGTCTATCTACTGTAATTGCCTGACTGTTTGAGTGTCTTTCTGAATCTCTTGTTGCCTTTCTATCTTTCTATACTATCCAGCTGACTGTGTTTGCTCTTACTTATGAAGCCAATATGTTTTTCTTTATGTGTATATACCTGGCCTGAAGAGGGACTGCAGTTAACATATCAAGTGAATGTGTTTCCTTTTATGTACTGATGGTTCAGCACATGGATCTTCTTCAAGAATAAACACTATTGGGGATATTCGATAATGCAGCCCTCCAACACTGGAGCAAGTCAACCATTTATTACAGCTTATCTGTTGTCCTACATATTTCTTCATTAAACCATCCACACAACACGTATTAATTCTCTCTCACTAACTCATTAATATGCCTTTTTCTGATCATTGGTTCGCTATTTGCCTCCCAGTCTTAATCAAACTCATCCCCACACTGCAATAAAGAAAAAAATATCACAACAAGCACTTACCATCAAAATAATTGCCTGCATACATTTGTTCTGCCTCCCTGAATTTCATATTGTTTTCCTCCAACGGTCATGCAGCCTGATACTGAAGATTGCTGCGCCTTTTGTAGCCATACACTCATTCAGAGAAAGCTTGGAGTTGCTCTCGGGACAAATCGGGAGGGGAGGGGGTAGTTTGGAAACACGAGCTGTAGCTATGTGTACAAACTAATTAAGACATTTTCTCTACCCACTAAACAATCAACAACAGGATTTAACCATTGATCTCCCCCTGGCCACCAACTGCACACCAACCAAATGTGCAAGCCAAGCATTTACTTGTAATGAAAGAAAGTCCTGCATGAGTTTTGCATGTTATTGTACGTATTATGTAATATCTGTTAATTATTCATATCTTGGTGACAGGCCATGGGAAATACTCCTGGGAAAAGCACCAGCAAGGAGCCAATTAAACTGTTATCCAGCATCTTGAACTTTGTCATGTCACACTTGCAAATTAGTGTGTTGTGTGTACAGTACATATCCAAATGCACCATGAGTGTGAGAAGCATTAGAAGATGGTGGAGCCTTCTGGATGGTGTTGGGGATCACTTGTTTTGACAGCTGGGATTAGTGGAAATGCCTTGTTTCACTTGTCAGCCACACATATGAATCCTGGAAATTCTCTTTGGCTCAGTTGATACTCATTAAGAACAACTCTTTTGCTTACATATCCAGGTTAAATCCATAAAAAAAAGTTTGTAGCCTTGTGTGATGAACATGGTTCAAGTTGCCGCATGTGAGGACACATTCCCTTGAGTCTGATTCCCTTGAGTCTGATTCCCTGTTGCAATATTCAAATACAGGAGAGTGAACCTTCCTTTTCAAGTCACTATACTACTTGTTTGCTAAGTATAATGTCCTAATGTCTATCAGGAAGTCACATGCAGATGAGCAAGCCTCGTCTCTGGTTTGAGTGCTACACGATGGTCAAAGGACAATGATTTTCAAGGTGTGAGATTTTAAAAAATCATAAAAGAATACAACAATACTTTGGTTAAAAAATGTATGTGGCTAATTGTGCAGCATTGTGCTGCATTATACTATTGTTAAGTAAAGATACCAGGGTCAAATGGTGGTGTTCAGATCGTTTCAAAACTGCCTCTGTACGTCTGCATCTTGCATTTTACCTCAGGATGTCAAGTGTTGAAGTTAACTCAGAGATATACAGCTAATTTTGAATTTTTGCACTTTATTTACATATAGATTGTGCTCTAGTTAAAACATTCATCCATTCACTCATTCATTTAACATTATTGAAAAAGTACATACATTTATAAGGACTTTCAAACCCCAGCAAAGCCGATGTGAACAGTGCCTAATTATGTCTTGGATATGTTTACACCTAAATCTGGTATATTATGGCTCCAGTTACAATCCAACCAGCCAGTATGAAGGTGAATGCCTGGAGCGTGTACTTGTATCTTGCTTAACCAGGGCTGAGATGTCCTGCTGGTGTTTTTGTCATAATAACTGCTTTTCTTTGTCTGTTGGTTTGTCCACTGCCCTACTTTGCCAGCAGTATCCCATTGTGCAAACAATTTGAATTTGAGATGCGGCCTGCTCCTAGCCGAGCGATATCCCTCCTGTGGTGAGAGGCAGGATTAATTTCTCTCCCTAGCTCCCACCGCACATGCAGAAAGATAGAGAGGGGGAGCTGAGATTGGGGGGTGGGGGCTTGTACAGGTAATACCACCACCACCTATTATCCGAGGAGTATCATTTAATCGGGCCTTTGTGGGACGATATTGTATTTGGCTGTTTCTGTGTGGTGCTGGCAGGGCGCCTCATGTATGATTATGTGTCTCATCGTTTCAGCCCTGTGTCAGTAATCTGTTAGTAGGGAGATAGAGAACACACAAGCTCTGTAAATAATGCAAATCTGCTACTGGGCTTCATTCTGTCTTTCTTTCCTGCCATCCGTCTCTCTGTGGCTTTCTCCCATCTTTATTTGTCTCTCTTTCTTTCTCTTTCCCACTCTTTCTCTCTCACATAAAAGTCAGGATTAGGCATTCTCTAAACTCCTGCACAACAATAATCACAACCATCCCCTGTATCCAATCATTCAGACCATGTGGGTGTGTGGGTGTGTGTGGGGCCAAAGGAATCAATCCTCGGACAAACATGGTTTGACAAGGTAATACATATTATGATGACAAGATACATTACTTTTTTTCCACTACCTTGATGAAATATAAAAAATTACAAATTCGTTAGGACTGCTGTCCCTTACTGGAGCTTAAATTCCTCTTTTTTTTTTTTGTGGGGGGGGAGGGGGGAAAAATAATTTTTTCTTCCCCCCCAAGGGAAGGAAAAGAAAAAAAAAAAAAAAAAAAAAAAAAAAAAAAAAAAAAAAAAAAAAAAAAAAAAATTACTTGAAAAGTACTTAATAAAAACTAAGTAAAAGTACAAATACCATAATTGAAAATTACTTTGGTAAAAGTTAAAGTCACCCATAAGAAAATCACTCGAGTAAAAGTCTTAAAGTAGCTCACATTAAATGTACTTAAGTATCAAAAGTATCTTGTGAGAGAATATACTCAAGTATCAAAAGTACAAGTAAAGTACAAAGTATTTTTATAGTACGCATAAAAAGAAGCAAAACAACCAAAAATGGTTCTCCCCTTGTGTTTCTTAAGGTTGGATGGGGAGTTCTTAAATGTCTTTATCTCGTGGCACTTTGGTAGGCACCAGAGGCACTTCATTCTGTATGTTTTAGGATTTTCCCCCATCCCAAGGTAGCCAAACATTGTTGCCAGGTATGACCACGGCGGGTGACTGTCGTCTTCTACTGAAGGAGATGTCAGTTGGTAACGTCTTCTGTGTCTTCCTCATCAACGTTAACTGCGGAGGTAGCCATGTTGATCTCCGCCGCCCCGCGCATCCCGCCTTACCTCTAATCTTTGCGAGAGTACCGTACGTTGTTCTTCTCGTCCTCTCGGACACGCCCATTCCAGATAATCCTTTGATGATTAATTGTATTTCTATTTTAATTTGTAACGAGCAACAAGGTGGCAAACATCAAAGTAACGGAGTAAAAGTATATTTTTTAACTTTTAAATGTAGTAGAGTAAAAGTAAAAAAAACTCAAGTAAAGTACAGATCCTCAAAAAACTACTTAAGCAGTGTAACGAAGTAGATGTACTTTGTTACTATACATTTCTGGATAACAGCAATATACACAGCTTTGTGTCATATTGCTCCACAACAACAACCATTATCAGATGTGCATGTCTCAAGATCAGCTGCTCACCCCAAACCCCAACCCCTTTCTTGCCCTCAGATGGAAAAAGAAAAGGATAAAATGCCTATCCAATCTAGTCCTCAAGTATGTTAATGATTTTGATTTGAACATGCAGTGCCTGTCAGTTGTTAATTATAAAATTGATCGGTGAAAAAAGCTGCCAATTAAAAAATGCATCAGGAGTCTGGTAGCAGAATTGCTGAATTAGGTGCATCCTCCAGGCAGAAACAGTTAAGTACCCAGGAAACCAGCTGTGTGCATCTGTATTGACTGAGTGCTCTCTCTCATGTCTCCACAGAGATCCTGAGTGGAGGTGTGTATGTTGACCAGAACAAGTTTCTGTGTCATGCAGACACGATCCACTGGCAGGACATTGTCAAAAACGCACGGATGCACCCCGTGGTGGTGCCCACCAACAGCAGTGTCACATGTAAGTAAACTCAACAATTACAAGTGTGGAAGACAAGAAGATTTGATTTGACTTTAATCTTTATTTACAGGATAGTTTTACTGAGAGCATTGCTGTTGCTCTACACTTAGATGTTTCCATGAACAGAAAATAGAACCAGTGCAGAACTAGAAATATTATTTCTTCCATGCATGCTTCTTTCTTGACAAAACCTGGCAAGGAAGTGACATCACTTAAGGCAATTTTTTCACAATTTGTGTAGTTCCCTCAAGAGTTACTTTATCTGACTGGAACAATATACAATATACCCCAGAGGATCATTCTGACTTGCTAGGATCCACAGGTGACAACTGTGCAATCTATGGAGCGGCATTTGTAGCTCAGTGTTTCAGACTGGCAGTGCAAGTGCAGTCCAAGGGTAGACTGTTGGGTGTCCTTGTTTCCTTGATAAAATTACCAACCAGGTCCACTTGGACTCAAGGATGAACTGATTAGAATTTGGTGGTAAAAGTCAAGGTCATTGTGACCTCACAGAACAAATATTTGGCCGTAACAGGCCATTGGTGACACTTTTGACTCAAAGGTGACTGTGACTTCAAAATTACCTTGACAAACTCATTTTTGGTCATAACTCAAGAATTGGTGTGTTATTTATGATAACATTTCACAGAGATTTTTAATAGGATATAATGATGAAGTGATGCCATGTTTTATCCAAATGTTCAAAGGTCAACTTCACTGTGACATTTTAATGGCCTTGAAAAACACTGTTTTGGCCATTGTTCAACACCATAACCCAGGAAAGAAGGGGAGATTGTGAGCATATTTCACAGTTCACAGTCACTGAATTGGTGACACTTGTGAAATCAAAACAGGCTTTTAGCTGTAATTTAATTTGGTGATTCCAGATTTACGCACATGTGGACTGGGACAACATAATGAGTAAACAATAGCTATTAGGATACAGACTTTCAACTTTCCATTCCACCTTTCACTCTCTGCTTCATTCTGAATTTCAAGCATCCTCGGAATCACATGACTGCAAACAACTGTATTGGAGTGTGCCTAGCTAATCCTGATCCTGTGCGTGAGTGAGTGAGTGAGTTTCACCTACAGCTCATAGAGAGCTGTCGCATCTAAAAATGCAAGGAGAAAATGAAGGTACCAAATTTTGTATAGCTATTCTCTATGAGAATCTATCTTTGTTAATCAAGTACATGTGTAATGTATATTCACTGGAATCAGTGGAATATTTTTATTGCAATAAATAAACAACAAATATTGTTTGTAGTGTTGCTATATTTCATAATTTGTTTCATGGTACATTTTATTTTCAAAATTCAATTATTTTGAAAAAAGTTTACATTCCTCACTGCCAGTTCAAGCTTCTTCTTTTTATTTAGAGACTTTAGAAAAGATAAAACTACAGCTGTGATGAGTCATTTGCTTAAATAATTTTGATTGAAAGGATCACCAGCTCTACCTGAAGGTTCCTGGCACTCCAATTAATAGCTCTGAGCATACTCAAACTTAGGCTCTGAAAGGTATATCCACAGCCATTCTCTTAATATTTCATAACTCTTTCATAAAGCAGCAAAGGTGGGTAAGTTGCGACACGGAAAATGGCCAAAGGAGACCCCACGTAACCTGCTCCATTCACAACAAGTTGACCGAGTGTGAGCAGCAAAACATTGTCATAACAAAATCACCCCTTGACCCCATTCTGTCACTCTGCTTACCATAACAATCCACAATGATTGCTCACTCACGTCCCATTAATGCCCTACTGTAGCCAGCTGGAAGAAATGTTAATAAATGCTTAGAATTATGACAGGATTTAATAGGGTGAAATAAACATACTTAATCTGTCAGGATGCAGGGGATGATGGTTTAGGTGGTTGTCAGTGAAGTACAGACACATTAAGTCACCTCTTCTGACCTTTTTCTGTTCATTCACCAACTTAACCTCTTAACACGCTTTGTCTGTTATCAAGTTAGTACTCGAGCTGTTTGACATTTAAATCTGTTTTTCCTTTATGATGCCTCGTCTCGTTCGTCTACAAATACAAAATTACATCATGAAATGCATTATCATTATGGAACTAAATAAAAGGTAGTCTCTGCATATGTCATTTGATTTCTTCTCACAACACTGACAGAAGGCTTAAAATGCAGATTAACAGCTCCAAGCATTGATATTCTGCTCAATCACCCTCCTTTCTGCAGCCCTGTTAGCCCTGGATCGACCCTTACTCCTGTGCAAGTCCTCTTCTACAGTGAAAGATCAAGATCTCCAAAGCTGTAATCCACAATTGAGAACTTAATCTCTGTTTCATTCTTTGTGGGGAAACAAGCTTTATGTTGTTATTACATGACTTGTGTACTTATGTACACATGAGTACACTTGTGATCTGTGCCACAGCTATTGTGTTTATTGTTTTCTTTTAAAAAACAAGAATAAAAGCAATTTTAAAATCCATGCCCTATTGATTAAATTGAATTCCCACATCTGTATTTTGCTCGACACCAGCCTTGTTATGACAGCATTCCTGACATTTTAACCTTCGGGGGCCGTTTTAAGAAAGCTGTAAAAGATTATGGTGCAGGAAGAGGGGTGGAACAGGTTTATTCTAGGTCACTGAAAATGTATAAGTGGAGATAGTGAAGACCTTGGACACTAAATGAAAACTCTTTGGCTTGACTTCCCAGGGCAGCAGAGATATATCTAAGTGCAGCATAGGTTCTGCAAACTTGGTACTGTCAGACAACCACTTATGTTTGGCAACATGTATTATTATTCTGCTTGTATGTTGCTTTTCATACATTCAAGGCTGCTGACCTCTCTTTCTCAAGCAATGTCAAAGTGCTATTTTGAGATAAACAGGCTGGAGAAACAGAGAAATACAGAGGGACGGACTGGAAAAAGCTAAAGAGAGACAGGAATAGACATTAAGTGAAAGAGAACCACAGAGGAGCGATGAAGCAGCAAGGGGTGCATTGAGGATGAAAGAGATGAAATGTGTAGTGGAGAGGGGCACAGATGAGGAAGAAGAGGAGGGCAGAGGATGGAGAGGCTCGTGTTGGGGAATAGAGTCAGTCTCGATGCTAATAGCTCTCATCTGGAGAGGCTGATGGACAGAGGACAGCACTTTTGCACTTATCCAGGCTCACTTCCCCCGCAGTCAATTACTAGACAGTCAATTAAGTTCTCCAAAAAAGCCAGAAAGGCACTGGCTGAAGCTCTGAGGGTACAATGCTGGTTTCTGCTGCTTTACTGCTTTTATCTCAACCTCATTTGTTCTGTTTTTTGTGCTGGATTGATTTAGAGTGGAGTTTCATAAAGAGTTGTTTTATTTTCACAAAACAACCTGTGCCAAGGTTTTTCAAGTTTTGACTGGTGCATCATGTACCAGTCAGGGGAGATGCTGTGTTGTTGCTAAAAGACTGCAAGGTTCATTATTCCCTTGCATAATAATAAGAAAACCTCGATAAACACATGGTTGCATTTTAGTTTAAGTGAATGTTGAAAAATTACAATCAACTTGTATGGGTAGAAACAGTAATTTAAATTAAATTAATTAATTAACATATCATCATCCTTATCATCATATGATCATATAATTACCTACTCACCAGTCCTGTGAAGAATTCAAGTACCTGCATTTCTTGCAGATTGTGTTTATTATGTCAGACTCTAATTATAATAAATATCAAGCACTCACAAAGGACTTGAAATGCACCAATAATTAAGTCTTGTATCTTAAGAGAAACACTTAAAGTAAATTTTAGAGAGCGAGAAAGACACACACACACACACTCGGTGCATTTAAAGGCAAGCCAAAGGAATAGCCACATCCTGCTCACTATTCAGATCAATTTGGGCTTCAGTGAAGTGCTTGATGGCACACGGACTCAGCTAACCGCCCCTAGCCCATTTAAGGTTCAACTAATATGGATTTTTGAAGGCTGATACTGATCATACTTTTTAAGTAAACATTAGAAATGCCAATCATCCCTTTCCTTGTGAACTTGTGCGCAGGTCAAAAGTGCCATCGTTCCTGCAATGGTCGTTGCTGGGGACCAAAAGAAGACCAATGTCAAAGCTGTAAGTATGCTACTATCAACTGAAAATACATCACATTACCTTTTAGAGGCATTCTCTTAATTGCATGTAGTGTAGTTTCAGATTAACATGAAATTGTTAATAAGGTTTTTTATGTTTATAAAACATTGTGAACTAAAGTATGAACTAAACTGTATCTAACTAATGTAGTTGTGACATTTACAAATGTCAAAGATCTGTGACTTGCCTGGGAAAATCAGTAATTCATATGTGTTTCAAGATGAATGGGAAATTATATGATCACATAAAATCATCTGTTGAGTTTTAGCTGGTACTAAATAACATAGTGTAGTTTTACTCTACTCTCATCTGTTCTGACAAATCCCAACCAGAAACAAATTTTCAGTATGCCACTCAGAGATGTGATCAAACACTGGCAATGGTTTCCCCTTCAAGTGATTTTTCCTAATAATCAAAACTATGCTAATATAACCCCAGTTAAACAGAAAAAGAAACTAAAACCATGTACAGACACAAAACAGATATTTGTCATTAAATGTATCTATTCAGCCTGCTACTTGAAAGCATGGAATCAAAAATTAAGAGCATAGTGTTCAGCATTCGTTTCAGTATGCTGTTTGCTTCACCATGATTGGCTCATTCTGTGCTGTGGTTGATAACATGCAATCATATTCATTCAGATTTAGATGAATTTCTATAGTCCCAGTTTATGTGACTTCACTAATCTAGTTAGATCATTCATATTGAGAGAAGTAAGTAAGTGAGGTGTAAGGTTTCAGGCAGGTTTCAGCCTTGTAAATGTGCCAACAGGTATTCACAAGGAAATACCACCACCTCTAGCGCACACACACACACACACACACACACACACACACACACACACACACACACACACACACACACACACACACACACACACACACACATATCAACACCCAACAAAATTCCCGGACTCCCAACACATCTACCACAAACCCTCCTGCTGGGACCTCCCACCCTTCATACCAGCTAATGGCAGCTGGGAGAGAGTGTGAGAATCATACACTACTGAGTCCATCAGCAGGGGAGAGCTCCATGTTATTCCTTCCCTTTCAGTCATTTTTCCTGGGCTCTCAGGTTTTGTTTCAGTGTCTATCTCTCAGGCTCTACAAATTTAGATGTCTCTGTCTGCCTTTCTTTCTCTCTCTGTCTTTCTCTATCCCTCTCTCTCACACACACACCTGTTTGCACAAAGGACAATGTACAACACAAATACGTATGCAGACACACACATACACACCTACAAACACTAACACATAGCCAAAGCAAAATTAATGAGGTACGTATAAGAGCTGCCGGCCAGAGACCACCAACTGGCTTAAACCAAGGAATAAAAGGAATGAATGTAATTTTGCTTTTGCGCCTTAATGTCCCAACACGTCCTCTAAACTAAACCACAGAAAAGGTAGCTTGTCATTGCCTTCCGAATGGACCAATATCAGTGCCTTTTTAAAACCCATGGCCATTACAAGAATAGTGATTTTTTTTTTGTAACACCACTACGTTTAAGGATTAGGTTACGTTTAGGTAAAGAATCAACTTGACTTTATGGCTATGTTAGAAGAAAAATGACTTGATAGAAACCAATGCTGAATGGGATTTCCTATGTAAAACTTATACTCTACTAAGGGGAATTGTGTACTTTTTATTTCACTATTATTATTCGACAGCTATAGTTACTAGTTACACATCGTTAAATCAATGTATATATGGCCTATGGCATAACTATTGACCAAACTTAATTGAGTTGTGTTTTTAGTATTTTTAAGATACCCTGTTAATTAACAAACAAAAATGACTGAAACCATGCTGTTCTTAGCTGAGGTAATGTACAGTGAACAGTGTTGATATTTAAACATATCAAAAGTATATGTATTAAACCTAAGGACGTTGCTAATGTTAAATATTCCATGTAATACTGAGTAACACAGTTTAAACTACAACTGCATTTAATAGTTCTAAATCAGTGCCATTGTTGGCATTTACCTTAGTATCATTCAGCATGGTCTAAAAGTTAATGCTTACGTGTCAGATACGGGAACTACCAACTCTCAGGCTTTGACATATAGCACACAGAGCAATGAAGAATCCACTACACCCTGATAATTTAATAGGTAACTCACTAATAGGTAAACTGACCAACAGTACAACCTGCCTAAAAAAGGTGGAACATTTCTTTAATCAGAGAATATGGAATAGTGTGGGATCATTGTGCTCTCACCTATAATCTATCAATCTAAGATACTAACACTGTCTCAACAGATGTCCATCCATCCATCATCCTTCCATTGTTGTCTAACACACCACTTCACCATCTCTACAAACACACACACTTTTCTGTAGTGGATCAGAACATACACAGAAAATATACCACAAACTGAAACTTTAAAACCTAGAAAACTAGAAATACAGAACATTTTCATGTTCATGCTGACAGAAACTCACACACATTTTTTCCTACCTCCATTAAATATCTCTGTTTTTCTCCTCCCTCTTCCAATTTGATTGCACTACCTTCACCATCAATTCCCTCCTCTCTTTCCATCACTCTGTGCACAGACCACTTCATCTATGCCTTCTAACCCTGGCATGTCTCATCGTATTTGTTCTGCGGTCGCGATCTCATTAAGATAATGAGGAATGAACTGTTTGACCAGGACCTGTTAACAACACATCACAGACCAGCCCCCGATAAGCCCTGGTCCTGTCTGTCTGCCTCGTTTTAGCCGTTATCACTATCTCGCTATCTTCATCCATACGTGGATGTCATGATTCATCCCTCTTCTGCCTTTTTTCTCACAACCTTTAATTTTATTGTGCTGGAATACACGGAATGAATAAGTATAAAAATGTCAGATGAAAAATGACTTCAAAGATGCTTTTTGTGACATTTTCATGAATAATTATTCAACTGTCTCAAAATCAACAATAAGCAGCAGCTTTTGGCGTCAGCACCTCAGGGGGGAAGTGAATACAGTCAAGAAGAAAATTACAACTCAACACAAATCCTGGTACTGCAAATCACAGATATATAGCAGTAGCGGAGTGTTCCCCTAAAAGTAGATGAAGAATTTTTTTCCTAGAAGTAGATGAATAACAAATCTAAAGTGCAGTCTGGGGGCTGTTGTGGATTATATAAGAACAGCCTTGTATAGCTGAAAGCGTCTGCACAGATTGGGATCATTGTTTTCTTCATCAGATGCTTCCTTAGTTATTTTAGTTTCCTATAAAAACATGCACTATAATGTCAGTAGGGTACATCAACATTGCTTTTATTTAGTTTAATGATTTACAATAGATTTGGGAAATTTAGAAAAAGAACAACATTCTTGGCTTTCACTGCAGTCGTTAACACAGGTGAACCTACGAACATGATGTCAACACAACACTGATATATCCCCATCTTTTAAATTGACATGGCAAACTTGTTAAGAAATAGTTGCAACCCCTTTCACATTTTTACATTGTTTTCATACTATACACGTACATAGCCAATAATACAGTCACCAAATACTGTATCACACTGAAACTGAGACAATTACTAAACATTTTAGGCAGTAATGCATACTTTAAAGGTCAAGTGTGTAGGATGTAGTTGCATCTAGTATTGTAGTTGCAGATCCCAACTCCCTCGCTTCACCTCCCCCTCCAAGCCTGAAAAGAAAACTAATGTAGGGGTCTGCAAAATGTCGGAAAAACACCATTGCTCCGATACGTCCCCTCTGGGCTACTGTAGAAACATGATGGTTCAACATGGCGGACTCCATAGAGGGCAACCCGCTGTATCTGTAGATATAAAAGGGTCATTCTAAGGTAATAAAAATAATCCTATGATTTCTATATTCAGGTGATTATACACTAATGAAAACATATGTATATTATATTCCATTTCTGCCAATAGATCCTCCTAAATGTTACACACTGGACCTTTAAATGAGTTTATTTGTATTTTACTCACTTTCATCAAAGATAATATAGTTACTTTGTTTTGTAATGTGGCATAGTTAGAAAAGAATGTAGCTGAGAACTGATAAACCTAAATGTTTACTTAAGTGGAGGGTAAAAAGGCCACATCCATTACAGTGATTACCTTGGGATATTCTGTAACAAAATAGAGCAGTAAAACTTAAATTCTGGGAAACGTAGAGTGAAACTGGAGAGCTTCTCTTCCTGAATCTTCCAAAACACAACAAAGATGCACCTAGTGAGGTTAAAATATAATAATATACGTAGTGAATCTTTATCTCTTAAACTAGCTGGACAGTGAAAAGGGGAATATATAGTCACAAACATCCCACTCTCTCCGTTTTATACAGCTTATCAATAACACATAAAATTTCTACTAGTAAGATACTGTACATACCTAATTTATACCCTTGTGTCTTTGTATTTCATTTTTCACAAAAACAAACATAATAATCAACGTCCTTATTAAAGCGAAATCTTGTTAGTATCAAAGACAATTGAAGGACTGTATTTGAACTGTATTGTATTCCTTTACAGACTGGACAAAATTGCAAAGATAAACACCAGCCATCTAACATACAATATTACATTTAGTAGACTTTCATCAGGCAAAGCCTGTCGATCTGTCCTGTCCTTTACAGACACTTTTGGCTCATCAGCTTGACTTTATAGGTTGCAAAGAACTCCAATGATGACAACTTTCAATAATGTCTGTAACAAAAAGGGATAAAAACATCAAGAAAATACAACGTGATCTTTAATCCACCTTTTAGGACCTCACATTTTTCCTCAAATACTGTCACTGTCTTATCACCCAGGAGCTTGTCTCTGAAATTCATTTTCTGTACATTTCTCAATTCTCACATTGTGTCTTATCATTTCAAAACTAATTTAGTTTTCATTTGTCTTCCCTTTTCCCCTTCCAAATGTGCTAACTTTAAATTACTCCATTCTATGCACAGTATATTGCTATATTATATGCTGCCGTGTTGTGACTAATTCTACAGTAATTAGTT